GCATTAAGAATCTGCAACCCCCAATATTTAAGAAACATACATAGAAAATACATTCAAAACCTACAATACCCATATCATTTCATCCACAACGCAAAAAGAAAGGCTTACAAAATATACAACCAAAACAAAAATAACATAATCGATAATAATAAATTACATGAAAAGAGATGCATAATACTACCAACCAATGCAGTCACATCCACTATCGGGAACCTATCCCATCTAAATAATCTTAAAATAATCACAAACACTTCCAAAACCATTATGGATATACTCAGCTCCTCAAACACTAATAACAATAATATTTCTGAAGCAGGCATTTATAAAATAAATTACCAAAGCTGTTCCTCCCAATATATTGGAGAAACAAGCAGAAATTTAAAAAAAACGCATTTATGAGCACAAAAGAGGCCTCACAAAAAACAACTTAACTAATGCATTAGTCATACATAGAAATAAATTCAACCACAATTTTGATTTTAAAGTTGCTACACTCATAAAAATAGAAAATAACTCACTCAGAAGGAAAATCCTTGAGAGTGCTGCCCTTTGAATATTATCCAAATATTAATCTACGCCCAAGCTTTTTCCCTATATCACCTTTCCTAACAGAATTACTACTCTCCCAAGCAAACTTACACAACTATATCAAGAAATCAAAAGAAAATTCTTGAATACGTCAACCCAACAATTAAAACAATATTTCCATACATGATAGTACTTGATGTAATTTTCAGTTGACCATATGAATACAATAGCATTTTCTAAATTCTTCTAGTTGCTAAGGACATTTTGTTTTGTTGTTAATAATTACTTTGTTTTTAACAAATTCATTTCAATTTTGCCTTGAAAAAGTCCACATTGGACGAAATGCAATGGCTAATAATACAGTTTTCCTATTGTCTTTTACCTTTATATATATTATAGAGATGGGCGGTTTAACTGAAAAAAATGACTTTTTTCAGTATCATCCGCAAAACCATGTCAAAATTTTTTACAAAACCGAAATCACTACTGAGTGACTATATCCAAGGAAACACTATTGAAAAAGGCTTTCAGATGTTAATAAAATTAAATTTTATCAACATTTATATCATTGTAAGAGATAAAGATTGAACAAAAAATATGTTAAAAACATTTAATTGACGAGTTTTAGAGAATAAATGTGAAATCTATTTGTTTACAAAAGAAACAAAAAAAAAAAAAAAAAGGAAATATGACATGACACTTGAAAATCATAGAATATTTTCTCAAACAGAAAAAAAGGAAAATACGACATGATGTAGTGAAATCAAAAAACTTTGTCGTAAAATTAAATTAACAACAAAATAGCGAGTAAAAATAAAAAATATAAAAATTAGTTACCAGTTTCATCTTAATGTTAAATTTTATGAAGTCGGATTTTTTGTAAGAGTTTTCTAGTAAGCCAGTATGCCAATCACAAAAAAAAATGTAAATGAGAAAAATGAATGAAGATTTTTTTTATAAATAAATTTGTTTTTTACCTAAGGAATGCACCTAAATTAGATATTAAGAATAATGAAAATAGTTCTTAATTTCACTTTTAAAATGTATATATTTCCAGATGTGCGAGTCTAAGTATTTTCTACAAATAAAATTGTTTCTACCTAGCGAATACATCTAAAATTAGATATTAAAAAAATAAGGTAAGTTTTAATCTCAGTTTTAAAATGTGTATATTTTCAAAACTGCAATCATTATTTTTTAAACCCAAAGTAAAAATTATTCTTTTTTTTAGCCACTTTCCATGCCTTAATACACACTTATTTTCTATGGTAGGCCATAAATGTGAAAATACAATTATCAGCATTTCTGGATATAAACAGAATTCTCTGCCTCTAAATAAAATAATTAATCACTTGAAAACATGTGCCTGTCAGTATCAGTTGAAAGTTCTTTTACCATACATTTATTACTATCAGTTGCTTCCATGGGTCAGAGAAGAAATGAAGATCTTCCTGGTTGTAGTTTAAGGTGTCTTCTAATTGAGGGTACAATTTTAAGAATATTGATAAAGATTGGTCATTTTGATTTTGTGAAACGAAGTAACATGTAAAATTTAGTCTCCATAATAAAAAAATAAAATAAATAAATAAAAAATAAAAATAAAATTTTTTTTTTAAAAATAAATCATATTTGCATTTTCAGCTGTTTGAAGCAAAATACTGTTTTAACTTGCTGTAAAAAAAAAAAAAAATAATTCAATGAATAAAAGCACATAAAAATTACATACTTAATAAGATTATTTTATTTTCTTTCCAGCTATATGAATATTTTTAAGACTGGATCAGAAATACATGAGAAATTGCAAGTTGAACGGACTAAGTTGCAAATTTATCAATCTCAAACAAAATCAGATATCGACTGGAAATGCTATCATTACACAAGAAAATGAATGGCTTCCTCAGAAGGCAAAAATAATAAATTAAAAACCAAAACAAATGAAAACTGATACCAAAACATAAATTGCCAAACCAACTCTCTATTAAGACAAAAAAGAAAACAGATGCATTTGTATTCTGGACTTTATCATGGCAAATGTAAGGATTTTATTTTGCAACAAGTATTTATAAACAAAAGTAAATGTTAGTTTTTCAAAGTTTTTAAATTTAAGAAACACTCAAATATTCATCAGGCTAACTGAAAAACCAATTATGGAGGATGCTAAGTGACAGAATTCAATGTCTAAAACAAAAGTGAGTAAATGATGTTGAATATTTTTTTTATATAATAAATAATAATATAATATATTTATATTATTTTAGTCAGGGATTAATGTATGTAGTATATATTTTAAATAAAAGTAGGTTATGAATTTAACCATTTTCTTTTAATTTAACATTTCTATAGTCATGGCTTGGAAAAAAGTAATTCTTTCAGAAATGGAAATATTTGAAATAAATCCAGAGTGTATATATATTTTGATAAAATTCAATAGCAGCACTCTTGAGAACTTTTCATCTAAGTAAGTTACTTTCTTTAGATCAAAATTGTGGTTGAATTTATTTCTATGTATAACTAATGAATTTGATAAATTGTTGTGTATAATATTCTTTTTGTGTTCATAGATACATTTAAATTTCTGCAATTTTCTCCAAAGTGTTGATAGTAAAATTAGACACCACTCTTCACCAACCTTTGCCAGATACCATACAAGAATAATTATTCAACTTAAGATTTTCTTCAACATAAGAAATTATCTGTTGAATTGAGCTATTTTGAAAACCAAAGTTCCTTGATTGATTAGTTGAACTATCAGTCATCAATTGTTGTTGTTCTACTTTCGTTAAGAATGCTGCTAATAACTCATAGAACAAAACTGTAAACAACTGGCTGTAATTAGACTATAGTAATGGTGTACAAAGGATTCATTTGGAAATTGTAAGCCCCAAAAATTTTTTTAATAAACAATTAAACTCCATTCTGAAAGATACTTTAATTTCTCTTGTGACACCCACATTCATTTCTGAGGATGTTTCAACCAGCTTCACCCAAGACTTCATCAAATCAAAAACTTAAAACTTAAGGGAAGATTAATTAGAGAAATAGGAACAAATTTTTCTTTTTTTTTTTCTTTTTTTTAAATTACAAATAGGTAGGAGGGGGATTCATAGTTTCTGCTGTTTTTCATATTCTTTGCAAGACAAGTATATGCAATGATTTAAATAAATTTGGTATGTTTTAGTAATTTAACAATAATTCTCACAAAAGCCAAATTGGGAAAGAAGAAATGAGCAGTTTGTCTAACCTACAACAACTGGGAGAGACTGAATGAAATAGTACCATTCTTATAAAATACATATATACAGATCTATTTTAACTAAACTCAATAATACCAATTTGATTCTTAGAAACTAATTAAATTACTTACCAGACATGTCATTGTAGGTTGATTTTCAGTCTTTGAAGATTCAATTATAAATTTAAAACTTGTGAAAGTCCGACTCTGTTCAGTAAGATAATTGGCCAAGTAAGACTCTTCTGTGAATGTCCATCTGAAATAACAAAACTGAAAACACTGACTTTTTATATTCATCAAAAATTAAAAATATGCCATGAATGAATCAAGACTTATAACTTCTTTAAAACTCTTATCTTTTATTGTATTTTAAAAGATGAAAATTTAAGCATCACTCTTGCATTATAATAAAAATTTAAAATGTTAGAAATGAAGTCCTTAAATTCTGAGTATGTAAGCTTCTTTTCTGTTTTTGTAAGATATCCAACTTTTAGGTGAAGACTTTTGCTCTGTTATTACTATTCAATAAGTGCAATTCCATTTCCTTTTGTTTGAAATTACATTTTCTATAAAATTCACTGTTCCACTGGGGTTAGTGTGGAAAAAAACTGTATGAAACTGGCTGCTAAAAGTGGAAGCAACAAAAAGAATACACAAGTTATGAGACATGCTAAAGTCAACAACTGTTTTATTTCAAGTTCTTGCTTGTTCTGCTTTTGCTCCCAGCATTTCTTAGTGGGTTTGGAAGTGCTTACACATTATTTATGTTATGGAACATCTCTTTCTAAAGTAATTTCTTATTTTCTTAATTAATTTCCAACTTTTCAAATCACAAAATAAATGATTACAAAGTTTGTCTTGGGCACCTCAACATGGTGTAATGGTTAGCAAGCGTGTCTTGCTAGAACAATTACGACCGAGTAGTGAGTTCGTTCATCACTGGGTGCCCCAAACTTTCGGTGTTGTGCCACATCTAAGCTATGCTTGGAAAATCAATAGGCCTGGTGCCACATCTAAGCTGTGCTTAGAAAAAGGGCACCTCAAAGTTGTGTAATGGTTAGCAAGCTTGTCTCACTAGAACAATCATGACTGAGCAGTGAGTTTGATTCTCACTGGGTGCCCTACCCTAATTTCAGCCTTGTGCCACATCTAAGTTGGGCTTGGAAAATCACTATTATCCACTTGTTTTTACTTTTTTCAGTATTATTATTATTATTTACTTAAAAATCATTGTAATGTTCACTACTTGGTTTCTTTTTCAAAATTCTATTTTCAAAACCTATTTCTGAGGAAATCACCTCATTTAGCTTTCACAGTGTATGATCTGTTATTAGTGTCTGCTGACTTAATTGTTCCAATATTTTTCTTTATCTAATTTTTATTCCAACTATCTCTTCTTTTTAGAGGTAGTAAACTTCTGGCACTGTGTCATCTGTTAAACTTCTTTTCCATTCTGGTTATGGTTTTTTCCCTCCCCAATTTGTGAAATCAGGCCATCCAAGTAGTAACTTTTTAGAACATAATGGTAACATAGTTCTTATTTTCTTTCCCATAATCATTTCTGTGGGACTGACTCCTGTGGCTTGAATTGGCGTAATTGCCTACATTGTGTCTGATTCTTTCAAAATTATCTTAGCAACTTTCACAACACTTTCTGCTTTTTCATTTGTTTGAGGATGTGGACTTGATATTATGTCTTTAAATCCATAACTGTTTGCAAAACTTGTGAATTGTTTTTTGTTATCACAAGTTCAATAGCAATTCCCAATGTGTGAAGAAATTTTTTTTTAACTTTCCTATAACACAATTGCTAGTCATTGGATTGATATCGCTATCTCTATATATTTCAAGAAATAGTCTATTGTGACAATAAATTGGTACCCTTGAGAAGTGAAAATATCTGTACCAATTCATTGACATGAAGCTTAAAGTAATGTTGCTTTTAATTTTTCCTTTTTATTTGTTGAATGGTGTATGTTAGAACACATGCATTTTTTTTAAGATACTCCTCTAACTCCTGAGATATTTTAAGCCATCACACAAATTCCTTGTCTCTCTCTCTCTCAGCATTTGTTTAGTCCCAAATGACTATTATGACGTGTCCTTAATATTTCTGGTTTAAGTTTTCCAGGTATAACAATTGTCCTCATACCATAGTAAATTGTCATTGACTGACAATTCATTCTGACTTTGAAAATATGACTGTCTGCCTTCTTTTAGTCTTTCTTCTTTATGTGGCCATCCATTTAATGTGAGGTGTATTATTTCCTGTAATACTGTGTCTTATTTAGTTGCTATTTTTATTATGGGTATTATAGTTGCACATCAATCAATTGGTTCAAGAATTCACATATTTTTCAATCTACTCAATTCTTTGTTCACCTTAAGTAAAATAGAACTCTCCAAGCTGTTGTTATACAGTAAGGTATGGCGTCTTCTTTCAGAACTATTTTAACTGGGTCTCCACACATACAACATTTTGTCTATTTCACTAAATTCAACAAGTTCTCTCCCTTTAAACATTTTCAATGTGGTGTAATTGTTAGCAAGCTTGTCTTACCAGATCAATAATGATTGAATAGGGAGTTTGATCCTCATTGGGTGCCCTATACTTTCGGCCTTGTGTTACATCTAAGCTACGCTTAGAAAATAACCATACCTATTTCTTTAGTGGTAGTAAATTTAACAATGCACTGGGCACCTGTGTCAATTTTAAACCATACCACTGGGTTGTTAAGTTTCGTTTCTGCCAACTCTAAGAAATCTTTATTTACTTTAAATTAATTTTGGTTCTTCAGGTTACTGCAAAGCAATTCATCTCCCCACATTTCTTGTAAGATTTTATTTTTGCTGGTTTTGCAGGCTACAGCAAATAAATTTTGAATAAAGTTTTGATGACAGCTTGTAAAGGACATATAGTTTTGTTATAAACAAATGAATAACAAGCTAAGAATATTGTGATGCAACCTTTTCCAGAGTAAATATGATGCTTGCTGCTTCTTGCTTGTTGGAAATACTTTTCTGCAGTTGCAGTTTAAGAACTGAGGTGGCCCATTTGATCCTCTTATCAGCCTATTAGTTTTCCACTTTGTTTTGGCAAAGTACTAGAGGCTCTAATCAACTAATACCATGCCTATTACAGCAAGTACTTTTGTATATGTGTACATTAATACTCACCTATTAATACAACTGAGAGGTTCTCCTGTCTCATCCATCAGAGGCTGCAAGTTGATGCTGTAAGAATAAATCTTACACACAAATTTCTCAGCATCAGATTCTGATACTACAAAAATAAATACAAATAATTTAATATAGATAATCTATTGATATTATATAATCAAAATTAAAACTTATTGTTGGATCTTAAATTGTACATTCTGGTATTGAGATTATTATTTATAACAAGTCTTGAAAATGTATCTTAGACAATAAAGTTTAGTAGTCTAAAAAGTCTAAAACTATAGTGATTGTAGTATTTTTAAAAAGTAAACTGAGGAAATGATCAATTATGGCAATATTCTCAATATCAGGAGTAACAAGAAAGTTTAAACAGAATTGTACTGGTTTTAAGTTTTATTTTCTCTATTATTACCCAACTGATTATAACCATGAATAACAATGCTAAATCGCAGAGGATGTAAAAAAATTCCTGAATTCACTGAATGAATAAATAAAATTGAATGAATAATGAACAAATAAAGAACCAAGTAACCCTTCAAAGCAAATGATTAACAAATCTTATCAATTTTCATATTAAAAAAAAATTAAATTTAGTATGCATCTTGAAAAATTAAACACAGCAAATATCTTATAATTTATAAGAGAAAGTGTCTGATCTAATAATTATTGATTCCATGAGTATTATATTTATTTTGCTTCAAGATTACATATGCCATTACATTTATAATAATTTTTAACTAGTTTGAAGCCTACATCTTCAGCTATACACTGTTGAAATTGTTTTCTTGTCCATGCACAAGACAGACAATTGAGGTCATAACTTTGTTACTAATTGAGCTATTAAGATAAATTTGGTACCATTTCTGTTTTGTCTATGTGCGTATTAAATGTTTTTAGATACATTGAAAATAAAATTTTAGTTTGGGATACCCAATACTAATTTTATCAAAATAGCCTAAAAAAATAAACAGTTGAAATTGAAGGCAATTTCACTATTTTGACATGGATTTCACCCTCTTAAATGGAATATAAAAATGTAATAATTTTGACAAAATTATAAATTACAAAATAAATGAAATGTAAAATTGACAGCATACAAATGCTTAAAAATATGTAGCTAAAATTGCAGAATGATAACATTCAGAAAAAATTGCTAATGAACATGTTAAGCTTACAAAAAGTAACAGAAAAGAAAGGCAGTTGAAAGTTAATTATTTACATGACCCAGACATGGCAAGGAGTTTATAAAATTTCAATTCAGGGCAAGACATTGGGTTATCATTTAATTTTTCAAATGTTGTCACTTTAACATAGCATTACAAATCCAAACTAAATTAATGAGAAAACAATATAAAAAGTTTAAATATATAAAATATATGGACACAAATTTATAGTTTACTCCAAATTATTCATTTATAAATTTCCCTCGATAGACATAAATAAAAATCTTGGAATGTCAAAAAAAAATTTTGAATTTCAAAAAATTCCTGCAACTGCCTAAAAATTAAAATCTCAAAAGTTTCTTACCATCTTCAGTCTGCTTTATGATGGCACCCAACTCAGTTCTGCATCTTTTGCATAATATCTGAGCAGTTTTATGCTCTACAGTAAGAGCACCAAGGTCAACATCAAGAGAATTGACTAAGAAATAAAGGTCACCAACCAAACAGTCTCCAATTTTGGGTAACAGTAGACCCTTACTGTTAATATGTTGCCGTCTGGTATTCATTCTTGACATATCAGGTTTATGACAAAAATGGTTACCAGACATTTCCATCCATGCTTCTGATGGTAGTGGAAGAACCCGTTGAAATTTCCTACAAAAATAAGAGAAATAATTTTCACTTCATTTAAAGTTTCAGCACTACTTAGATAGTGTGCATATATATAATAAAAAAAAACAAACGGAGAAATGATTTTGGAAATAACTTTTGTAAATTAGTATTCATTATACTTTCTTCAAGCATGAAGTGTCAGAATCAAAAGATAGTGAATTTTTGTTGATTTAGAATGGGAGTCTTTTTTATAGTATAAATACAGTATAAATCAGTCGATGACTTTTCTATTTATAAATGTCAGGTTTGAAACTGTACTTATCTCATTGATATCTCCACATTTTTTCTACTTTGTTAATTTGTGTAAATTTTTGTTCTTTAATTAAAAATGACCTTTTTTGTTAAAAATGTTTCAGACAAACAATTATTATGCTTGTTTAAAATATACTTTCTTAAAACAAATGTATACATCCATTTTGTTTTTTATTGAAAAGAATTATTTTGTAAAGTCAGTATTTTCAATTCTGACAAATGCCTTGACACGAGGAAAGTTTATGCAAATCTACAAGAATTATTTCTCCAAAAATGCCCTTAAGAAAAAAAAAGAAAAAAGTGAAGTAATCTACTTAAGAAATGAAAGTTTCAATAATTATCCATTCTGTACTAGCCATGCACAATGTAGTTTAACTTTGCTAAGTGAAATTCATGACAATATTGCGTAAAGCCACTTTATAGGAAAATAACTTATTAAACAGTAAAAATTCATTCCATTAGAGATGAAACATCAATGAATAATATCATTGGTGGATATTACATATTTGCTACTATTAAAATAAATAAGAAAGAAATCACTGAAGAAAAATTAACATTAGACTATATTGCTTGCAAGACAAGCAACTTTCATTCACTGGGTTAACAAAAAAAAATTTTCTGCTACATGACATTGAGACCATTTAATTTTAACAGTCACATTAGAATGCATTTTTAAAATTATCAAAACTGGCATATTTTATAGTTTGATTCCAACAGTGAAAAAACAAAAAAAAAGAAAAAGTAAAAATGTTTTGGGAAATAATTTTTGTAAATTAAATTTGACCTTTCACAAGTCAGAATGTGTCAGAATAGAAAAATATTGATTTTTGTTGATTCAGAAGGGGAGGGGTCTTATTCATAATATAAATACAGCATAAAATTAATTCTGAATTTTTACAGTCACAGGATCTATTTTTTTTCAAATGCCAAATTTGAAGCAACAAATATTTGTATATCATGCATTTTTATTTTTAGAAAGACAGAAATGCAATAGACACAGTCAAAGATTTGTACAGTTTATTAAGTAACTGTCAAAAGTGGTTTATGAACTTTCATGTAAGAGATTTTTTGATACTTCATAGTTTGGTAGATGAGGTTGATAGCAATCAAAAGTAAATAAAAGAATAATCATTATTGTATGATGCTATATAAATTTTTTCTTAACCAACCTATCAGTAGTAGACAAAACATTTATACCAGTTATGTTAGTTGTTTTGATGTCACTTCCATGTATAAAAAAAAAAAAAAAAAAAAGAAAGTAAAACCTAACTGTATAAAAAAAAAGAAAAGAAACTTACAGTTACCTCTCCTGCATCTTATCTATATATGAATTGATTTTCATTCAGTTTTAAAGACAATGCTGTTGACAGAGCTATGTGCAGTCCAAGGGATTTCTAGTTAATATTTCTCTGCAATTGCTTCAAATTTATCTCACCTATTTTTAAAATAAATGGTCGAAGATAAATTGGGCCAATATTGTTAGAAATATATTTCAATTCAAATTTTTTAAAGTGACATCAATATGTCAAGATATAATAGGTTTTATTTTCAGTTCATGAAGTCATTAAATAATTGTAATAATTATTTGGTCAAGAAACAGAATACATGTAAGTTTATTTTTAAGATTAAATGCCCAACATGAATTTTTTTGCAAATATATTCCTAAAATTTATGAATATGCAATTTTTTTGCCTTAATGTTTCAGAGTAAATGTACATCACAAATCTATTAAAATTAGGTACCTCCATGGAGATCACTAAAAAAAAGAGCACAGCATGATGAAAAAGATGCCAAACTTGACGAAAACAAAATTTTATCATCTAAATATTTATGTTATTATTAAGAGGAAAGACCAAAGTTTTTTTAATTATTTTTTAAAATTTTTCCTTCTTTTTAGAATATTCTAAATTTTGATTAAAAAAACCTTGTTTCTCTTTGTATCACCAGAACTAGTAAAATAACATATACAATTTTTAGCACATTTTTTTGTATGACAGACATTAATTTGGAAAATCTTGCAAAAATAAAAATAATTGTTCGATGTTAATGAAACTTTCAGAAACCATTCACAGATGATTGAAATTATTATAAATGTTTTTTCTTTTATATTTATTACCCGCCACCCATAGCTAATTTTATGAAAACTCTAGAAATTCAATCGCATTCAGTTTAGTGATTATATTAGTTAAAAGCACAAGGCTTTGAAGAAAGCAAATCATGTTTTTTTGTATTTTTTAATTGGACCAGCTCTGAATTGTAACATACAAAACTCAATAAAACAAAGATATTATTTAATTTCAAATGCTTTTATTTGCTTTTAGCTGTTTTTATGAATATAGACAATATTTTCTGAAAGCAAAAACTTTTTTTGATGAAAAATGAATTTTTAATTATTTGTTATTTCTTTAATTATTTTAGATTTTTACATTTAAGTTGTTAAAATATCATAAAATTAGTTGAAAGCCACATTCACTTTCGTAAATGTCCTTATGAGATAGATCTTTTTTTTTTTTAACGCTTTGTAAATTGTATCGCTTTGTCCAATCAGAAGACCCGCAGTAATTAAGAAGTGTAGTTTTGTGTTTATAAAAAAATCATTAAAATGGCTATAATTAAAAAGTACAGAAGGTCACAAGCAATAAAAAGTCACTTGGCTGGAGTGTAAATGTTCTCCACTGAAATCCATTTCATTATTTCAAATTTTTCGTGAGAAACACATGTTGAGCATTTTGAATTAGCATTTTTCCTAACTAAAAAAATTTGAACACCATCCTAAGCCATTTTCAGCAGGAACATTACATTTTTAAAAGTACCATTTATTTCATTTACATATTTCATTGCAATTTCAATTTTGTGAAGTTGTTTTTAGAGTTTTCAGTGAGTCATCTTATTTCAATTTTTTCATTACCAGGCTTCATTTTCATACTGAAATTAAAGTAAGTACCATTTGATTTGTTTTTAATCTTTTTATATAGTTACTTTTTTCAATATATTTTTTGAATTTGATAATTGTCTTCATTGAGATTTTAAATCATTTCATTTACATATTTTTTTCTTATAAATAATAGCAAAGAAAACATTCCCCACCAAGCACTGATTCTTTTTTTTGTCATCATCCATTCATTTATCAAGATACCACTATAAATTTTTATGTATTCTTTTTTGGGGGGGGTTTCACTGAATATTTACAGTGTTTTGTGATTCATACTTCACTCCTTATTAGTTTCTGTTTCAATTCTAGAATTGAAACCCAATGATGACATTGTTTCTTCATTCAATTTATTCAAGTATCAATTATTAATCTCAGCCATGACATTTTTCCATAAATGAAATATCAAAATTAATAATAAATGGAAATACAAATAACACAGTAAAATGTAATAAATGTACATAAAATTATAGTATTTTATGTACACTTCTGATAAAATTTTATAAGGTACCTATAAATTAATTAGATACCTTTCTTATGAAATTTAATCTCACTCTCAACAGTCTTATTTTAATTTCTTTATAATGTATTTTCCATAAAGCATTGTAAACAAAGGTGAAAGTAAAAAAAAAAAAGTGCTGAAAGTTTTCCTTAAAAATAATGAGGTAAATAATTTGTTCACTTAAATCTAAATAATTTCACTTTTCTCCTTCCACAGAAAAACTTATCCTCACGTAAGCTGTCAATATGCAATGAAATTGTCATTCATTACCTGTCAAGTGATGTGAAATGTTATGACCTGCTTTGTTTTATTTTCAAACTACATCTTTTCAGCACAGAAACTAAGTAATGCTTGTTTTAAAATATTTTAAATAAACATCATAATTTCTGATTTTCTTAAAAATTTTGAAAAAATTATAATTGATTTTTAAAAGAATTTTAAACCGAGATTTTCATTTATTTTTATAAAATGGAAAAAATGTTGACATGATTGATTATCTGTCAATTTTTCTGACTAAAAAAAAAAATTTTTAACAAAAATTTTGGATGTGCTAGGAATGATTAAAAATTGTAAAAAAAAAAAAAAAAAAATACCCCAAAAATACTTTGATCTTTTCTCTTAATAATAACATAAACATTTAAATGATAAAGTTTTGTTTTCATCAAGTTTGGTGTCTTTTTCATCATGCTATGCTCTTTTTTAGCAATCTCATGGAGATACCTAATTAAAATGTTATAGATTTTATTTACACAGTTCAAGGAAAACAAATTGTGTTGTACTGCTAATATTTCACAAGCAGGTCTGATCTGCACAAATCAAGCTTGCCATCTTCATGTTCAAGATCATGAAGGATATTCAACAGGAGAAAAAAATGTTAAACTATTCTATAAAATGTATCATCCATTTGAGAAGGAACTACATGATTCCAGGTTAAGTTAAATTTTCATGATTCAAAAAAGTTAACAATTTAATCATTTTAATTTGTTTCTTCTTGAATATAGAAGGCTCAGAAACTTTAAAAAGTTAATATACTTCAATGATTGCATCACAATTTGACTTTTTGCAAAACCTTTGAAACATAATTCCAGCCATAATTCCAATAATCTAATTTAAAAAGAAAAAAATTATCCTTTATTCCAGTCTTTGCAAAATTCCATTTTTATGAAGGAACAATAAAATATCATTTTTAATACAGTAAAAATATCTTTTAAGCAGAATATGTGTTCTTCCAATTTCTATATTTACATTTCTACACATTAACTGTAGAAGATAATACAAAAGTAAAACATTTTTTACCACTCATGAATTCAAATCAAACGAGAAATAATCTTGAATTGGATTACTTTTTTCCATGTTAGATTGCATTTAATAAAAACATAGAATAAACAACGTTAATTTACTTGTTTGTAGGTAGTATTTTCTTTCCACAAAAACGACAAGAACACCTGTCCTGATGTAGTAGCAAAGAGTCAACCATATGGGACTGGAGAGTATTGGAAACAGATGGAGTACGCGTTGGAGACAACAGAAGGTTAGGTAATGTTGTCTGAAAGGTACAATGCAATTCTCCATTTTGGGAACATTTCAGCCCTCGGCATGAGGCTGGATGGAATGTAACATCTGGGATGCCCAGTTTCCAAGTCCATTCTCGGCCGCGGCCTCTTCCTGTAGTGATGCTGACGGAACTGGTATCTACTTGAACTCTGATATTGCTGTAACCAGTCTCGTTCTGAATCCTAAACAAAAATAAGAGTAAGAAATTTTAAAGAATCTAAAAAAAAGTTACAATATGATTAGAGATTAAGTTACCCGAGATAATTTTATTCTTTTATAAAAATGTAACCTTGTGCGAAATATTTTTACAACTTCAAGATTTTTTTTAAGATTCAAGGTAAATCGGGAAAATAAAAATTAAATATACATAAAGTCCGAAACAAACTTAAACGGTTAATAAAATTAAAATGCTAGTTTATTACTGCAAAAAATACGGGGATATTTTGAGGACGGAAGGGAGACGATTTCTTACCTAACTTTAAAAACAAAGTGCTATAAATTCAAAGCTAAAGGAGCAGACCAAAATGTCATAATGGAATCTGTCATGTAGTAAATTAAATTTTATTAAATAAAACATTGGAAAGCTCTTGAATGAAAACGATTGTGCATTTGAAATGGATATTTTTACAGTTGAGTAAACCACGTGCAAACATCAAAATATAAAAAAAGCAACCATTCAATTATTTATTACTATGAAGTCGAGAAAAATCCTAACATATTTAATTAGTCACAACAGAAAAGTTAAATGATAATTATGCTTTTACTACAAAGACACACAAAAAAAGAATTAACAGTTGTTTGTTAATTAACTCAATTGGTGTCCCTAACTTAAACAACAATGTAACGTCATAAAACATTATAAAAACCTGTCAACGTTGAGATAAATTGAGAACCTTCCTAGATTCTTCAATCTTTCAGCATACAGCATAGACCAAGTTTTGTTCCGATAGCCTGGCACCGCTTGTTTATCGCAACAAATAGATGACATCGTTCCATCGGATTTTCTAAATGCCGCCATTCGTTTTTACAATCATACATAGAGATGCTAAGGCCGCTTAGGTAATCATTGTTACTAAAACAGATTATTACACACAATTTAATATTATTATTTTTAATGACTAAATTAATCGTGTATCAAAATAAATATATTGATTGGAAATGTACAAATAAGGAAGGGTTTTTATTTTAAAATATATTATTATTATTTTTTTTTTAACGTTAAACTGTTCCTTAGGATAAAGAAAAAAAAACAAACAATTCAAAGTGCAAAGGCGTTTTCATGAAAACTTTGTTTTTGTTGAGAAGCGACACGGTCTTAAAAGAAATGTCTAACTTCCAAGAGACTTTTGGGGTAAGTTGTTTACATTTCCTTATCTTTAAATTCGCTTTCTCCACTTCCAAAAAATATTTAGTACAGCAATACGCATTTTTCTTTTCTTAACTTTTCATCTTGTGAAACACAAGGAAAAAGTTTGACACGCACTTTTGTCTACAATTTGTAATAAAAAGTTTTCATTTTATATTGTTTTTTTTGTTTTTTCCGTTTTTTTTTTTTTTTTTACATAATCTTCTTAAATTTGATAATATTATTTTCCAGTTATTGATATATTCCGCGTATTTAATATCACATTTTTTTCACGCTGTATTTTTATTATTATGCGCATATATTTTTTTAAATAATCATCTAGTTTCTAGTTCTAGACGTTAAATAAAAATGTAGCGGATATTTCATTTTTTTCATTCTTCTCTTCCCACGCACACTAACAAGAAACAAGTCCAGCAATTAAGATTTTTAAAAAAAAAAAAATATTAGTCCACGCCTTTTAGTTAAAAAAAAAAAAAGGTTTATAAAAGTAAGTTGTTTGTAATTTCAAACCTACTTTTCTTTTTAAAATATATTGTCTTTTTTATGTGAAAAAAACAATTTTCATTTAAACAAAACGTTTTACTTTTCAACAGTGACCGTTACATTATGCGTTTTTTTTTTTTTTTTTTTTCAATTTTATATTTACGAATGTAATTTGCAATTTATATATATATAATAATTTTTTAAAAAAATGTTTGTATACACACAGTTTCCACTTCTTGACTTGTCATTGACATTATTGTTAATTTTGGATTGACTTTGAATGTCTCAGCTGAAAACATGCTACTGACCGGAATCAATATGATAAATTTTGATTTGTAACTTTTAAGCTTTGGAATTTTAACATTAAAAATGAATTGCTTAATTTTGATATTTGACCACGGAAATACTTTATTTTTGTATTCAATGTATCTTCAAACATGTCTGTGTTGGGAAAGTTGTAAAATTTTACTGTCATAATGTTCTTTTTGTTCTTTTTTTTTAAATAAATAAATATTGGAGAAAATTGAAACTTGGTTTTACAACCAATTCATTTATAAAGGAATTTATTTATGAAAAGTGGAAATTTTAGTAAATCTCAACAAAACTAACATAGTTAAAAAATAAAATTAAAAATACTTTTATTAAAAGTAACTTATTACAATAGTATTTTAAAATAAAAACATCTGATTGGAGATAAAAACTCTGGGCACCGGAAAATGCGTAATAATTGTATCGTGGAGGTACCGAGAATGGGAAAACAAGATATTTCCGTGCTCAAATATCGAAATTCAATTTGTGGCTGAATGTTAGACTTTTTTAAAGTAGCAGCTTAATACTCGGAATTTGATGTTACAATCTCCGGACAACTTTTCAAAGTACCAAACTTTGAACATTTCAACAATTAAATCGACGTTATCAATTGCACTTTAAACATAAGAATGTAAAAGTGGAAAACCCGTATGAGCGTACAAAAGTATAACTCCGCCACGCGTTTTTTCCATTTTGTCATTCAATTAATCAAAAAAAGTTTTATCGCCAAAACTAAATGAAGTGAAAAGACCAAATGTTGTTTTTTATTATTATATTTTGTAATCCTTTTTAAACTTCGAAATTTTGGCGAACATTGTTTTTCTTGCGTCAACGGGTGATAAAAACGGGTGACATGGGAAATTTGAGCGTCTTTTTGCGCTGAAAAACATTTTGTTATGACTTTTTTGACATTACTTGCAAAAACAAGATAATTGTCAGATTTGAATGAAACTTTCAGGACTTGTTCACAGATGAATGAAATTATTTTTAGAAACGTTTCTTTCTTTGTAAATGCACACACACCACTTACTTAATTTCATGAAATTTCGATAAATTCATTTTTTGTAGTGCTTTAGAATTGAAGAATTTATTTTAAAATCCTCTTTTCTTTTTTTCAAACACGACCCCCCCCCCCAGTTACAGAAAATCGGCTCTGAATCGCAATTTAAAAATAAATGCAACAAAACTAAGATATTATTACTTAATTAGAAAAGCTTTTAAATTGCTTTTTTTATTTTTATGAATAAAGAAATGAACAGTATTGTCTTAAAATACATTTTTCGATAAATAAATGAATTTTTACGATTGTTTTAATCTCTTTAAATTATAATAATTCATAGTTTTAAATCTAAAATTTTGTATTAATTTGTAGCGATCAGCCTAGGTGACATTTTATTGAGAAAAAAAATACTGTTGCAGCCACTGCTGGCCACTCCTAAACGAAACAAATAGGACAACCTTGACCTTCGCAACCTTTCTACTTCTGGAATTGAATCCGTAGTTAATTAGCAATTAAACAACTCTCCTGATATATTTTGAGTTAGAATCATACCGTTAAGCATGTCGGCTAAGGACGTGTTAACCAACATACAAACAGCATTCGAGGGTATTTTTATATTTATCGTTTTCTATTCCCAATAGCCAGGGAGTAGATGAACAAACTTTATTGATTTAGCGGCTAAATCAATAAAGTTTGTTCATCTACTCCCTGGCTATTTTTTAGCCTCTTTTTCAACGAAAAACGAGCTTCTCGGTCCTCATTACTGGTCTTGCTGTCTCACCATGACTTGATTGCATCCTTCAAACATCAGTACAAGGTGAAGATAAGACGTGACAAACAAAGGATGACTTCTATGACAGATGGATAAAAGAAACCAGTTTGATACGAGTATTTAGTAAAAAATACAAAATTGTGACACAAAGCCGAAGGGGAAGTGGGGAGAGGCTGGTCTTCATTAGCTATCATAGTCCTAGTTAATCACGATCACGACCCATTCATTCATTACAATTTGTCCATTCACCACAACAACTCATCCATCACCACTTAGTCCGGCATATACCAAAATACTACATATTCACAGAGGACCTACAAAGCATCCCATGATGTAAAAATTTAAATCGATTAAATTGTCCATAAAGTCTGTTTGTAATCAGATTCCATGATTTATTAAATGATGAGGTGGGAGGATGCAACCAGAAAATAAGCTAAAATGAAACACAAAGATAAAACGAAAACAATGTTAATAGGCTCCGACCATCCCTCAAAATAATGATAAGAGTGGGCGCTGTATTCTGTCGGTAAAGAAAATCAAGAAGCACACTCACTAGGGGAAATGGGAAGGGTAAAAATAAATGATAAAGGGGAAAATCAAAGGCTGACCCAGTCGATATGAAAATGGGTGGACAAAAACAAACTAAGGGAGGTTGAGAATCTCGACATGGGTCATAACAAAAGAGAATGCCGGGAACAGGCTGGGAACAACACTTAATCACATTAACTAGGAAAACATGTCTAACTTAACCAGGGGAGGGTTCACAGGAAACCGCAGCATTGCATTAAGGGGACTTAAAAGAGAAAATCAAGGCTTGCCCCGTACACACGAACCAAGCTCGTCACGGTCATCCACCTTCCGCTGAAATCTGTTAAAATCAAGGGCTTTCTATCAGATCTGACCCTCACTCTAAGCTGATGCTTAAAGAAAATAACCAGATCCTGATGCGAATAGCGTTCATCTCGCAAGATTCCCTAATTTCGCGACGTCCACACCACCATCCTTGCCACGGCTAGCAACATAAAAAAAGACCCTGATTCAAATGGTTGTCAGTGACAGGAGGACACTCTGTTGGATCTGCCAGCAACCTGGACACCTGGCAGCATCATATCCAAGTTTTGCTAACCAGGCCCGAAGTACCAGTGAAGCAGCCAGCTTCAGAAATGCAGACACCAGTGAAACACTAAACAGGGTGTGTGAACTTAGCTTGTCCGCAAAGGGAAGACTAAACGGGCTCCTGTTTCAACTCCAGTGTCTGAACCAGGGAATCCAACTGAAGAAGAGGAACTGACTTAACAAACCAGGAAACCCGTAGAGGAGGAACTGCAACCATCGACTGAATCTCCGCAAACTCCATCAAAAGAAAAAAAAAAAAGAGACGCAAGGAGGACAGCAAAAGCAGAATAGATACCACATCTCCAAAACATCTAGAGAAGCAGAAGAAAACTGCCTCTCCATCTCCACAAAAGAAACAGGGGGCAAAGGAGTGCGTGGAAAAGCCCCCTCCCCCCATGCACTACGCATCGGCAAGGGAGTGTGTGTGATAGAGGAGCGTGTGATGGAGAAGGGCCGCCCAGTACACCTGAAGTCAGATTTGCGCTCTCAATATCAATTCCAGAATGTAGGAGGGAAGGATGTGAAGAAACCTTCCGACATCCCTCAATGTCAGATGCTAATGACTTTCCTGGGGAATCCCTCTGGGGAATCCCTCTGGGGAATCAAAGGCGTAAGGAACGCTGGCTGTAGCAAGGGATGCTACCGCAAACCTGCAGCTGGTGGACACTGAGAGGCCACGTGTGAAAGAACTGGCAACACAGGCACTAGGAGAACACCAGTGCTTGTGCACCCATCCCTTTACAGATCCCGGAAATTGACTTTTCCCCTTGATGTGGGTGGAATTAACACCACACTGGGGCAGGGCAATCACGGCCAGACTGTAGGAAAGCTCTTTCCAGAATACTTTGAGCCAGCCAGCGGCGGCACCAGCAAAAAGTTCTGCTCTTTTCGACTAGTTGTGGTATATGCCCCCAATAATGGAAGAGAGCGTCGCTCATTCTT